GCCTAGATTGTGTGAAGGTATCTCATGAAAGGTTACACCCGGGCCCTGGGAACTTGCTGACATGCTCAGAGGGTCCAACCACTCTTCCTGGCCACCCATGTCCATCTAGGACCCAAGATGAAGAACCTGAGGACACAGGTAAGAAACAGGTGGGAACGGAGAAGGTGTGACTTGCCCAGAAACCACAGGATACCCGATCTGCCCAAAGTGGAGCATGGCTTTGGGCCTGTCTATGGGGGCCTGACACCAAGCTCCTGCTCCTGGGATGGGGAAGGGTCCTCTGGGGTTCTGTGAGCCCCCTGAAGGACCCCATCCTGACAAAACTCTTCTCTGGTGGGCCTCCTCAGCCCCTCACCTTTGGGAGCCCCTCCTGTGTGAGCAAGCATGGGGAGTCCAACATGACCGCCAGGCAGCTCAGGAGAGGCCCATTGTCCACTAGGGCTCCAATAGGCCCCTGGCCACCAATACCTCCTTACCCTCCCGAGTTGGTCAACCAGGTCTGAGGGGAGAGCCCAGGCTTAGGAGCTGTGCCAGCAAGGAGGAAAAAACACCTCTCCCTGTGCAGACATTCCCTGCTCCCCACTCTGGGCATGGCACCAGTGATGAGTGAGACAGGATGTCTGCCCTCCAGATCTGTCCTGGGGGGACAGTCCTCTTGAGCTGTGTCCTCAATTCTAAAATGGGTTCAGTGACATACACCCCGTACAGCTAAAGCAGATGCCAAAAACCTAGCTAATTTCACTAAGGCCCCAAAGGCCTGGCCCCTCATCTCTTACTCCTCCTAATAACTCTATTATCCCCATTCTGCAGATGGCAAGGCTGAGACTAAAAGAAGTTAAGCCTCTTTCTCAAGGTCATAGAGTTAGTAAAGGGCAAGACCCAGTGCTCCTTACAACATCCATGTTAATCAACCATGCACACTGTATGTACGTGTACACCTACATACACGTATTACATGGTGATGTATTTCAATCACAGCTTTGAGATATAATTCATACACCAGAAACCCACAATCACATTTTATCTGGAAAGTAAATTTGATAACTGGATTTTCCACCAGACTTAAAGATATGTTCTTGTCTGAAAGGAAGGCACAGGTTTTGCGAATGTGGGCCGTGTCGTCCTGGAAGGGGCTCCCGGGAGCTGTGGCGAGGCCTGGGCCCTCTGCCCCTCCCCGACTCTTTTTTTTTTTTTTTTAATTTATTTATGATAGTCACAGAGAGAGAGAGAGAGAGAGAGAGAGAGAGAGAGAGAGGCAGAGACACAGGCAGAGGGAGAAGCAGGCTCCATGCACCGGGAGCCCGACGTGGAATTCGATCCTGGGTCTCCAGGATCGCGCCCTGGGCCAAAGGCAGGCGCCAAACCGCTGCGCCACCCAGGGATCCCCCCTCCCCGACTCTTGCTCTTCCTCCAGCACTGTCCTCTCCCTGCCCCTGCCAGACCTTAGGTTTCAACTCAGCTCCGGGGCCTCCTCTGTCTGTCCCCACTGTCTCACTCCACCTAGCAGAGACGGAGCCAAGGCTGTGGGTGTGGTCCTGGTGACCGCTTTGAGAAGTCCCTGGAGGGGTGGCTGTGTGTGTGCAGGGCCTGCCTGGGAGGACGGAACTGGCCGCAGGGAGGACCAAAGGGCCAGTTCAATGGGTGCCACAGTCCCAGGAGGGCTGTCTCCCAGGAAAAAATCAGCCTCCAAAGAGTTTGGCAGTAAGAGATCTGGTCTGGGTGGCAATTCAGAGGTTCTCATCCCAGCTCTAACACTTACCGACTTTGGGACAGTCTCACTGAACCCTGTTTCTTCTCGTCTATAAAATGGGGACAAGAATGTCTGTCTTGAATTTCAATAGGTACCATTTATTGAATGCTTACCATGTGCTGGGCCTTTTTTTCTTATTTAGTCGACACAGAACCCCACCCCACCCCCCACACCCCTGTAAGAGTGAAAGGGAAGTGGTGGCTCAGAGAAGTTAAGCAACCTGCCCAGGATCACACAGCTGGCACATGCAGAAGCTGTGATTCAGATCCGGCACCGTGTGATGCTGAAGCCCTCAACTGGGAGGGAGCCTATGGAATGATGTGCGGGAAAGTGCCTGTGAACAGAAATCTCCAGAACGATGAAAGCAGGGGATCTTCCTGCAGACCTTCACACAGCTCTGCTACATAGAGCTTTACCAGCTTTCATCCAGTGAGTGAGAACGAGTATTCTAGGGGCTCCTCACCCTTCCCTCTGCCGGAGCAGCGTGGGCTGTATACACGTGTATGTGTGAACATGAGTGTATCTTGCACAAGTGCACGTGAATGTTGGGCAAGGCGGTGAGCAGAGAGGCGCATGCCCAGCTCGGTGAACCAGCTTGCAGGGGGTGAGTTTGAGGCTGTACTTTGCCAGTGCTTGCTCTCCTGGGCACAAGGCCTGGGGAGTGACAACTTGTTTTCACAGCCATTCTCCCAGGGAATTACCAGGGGAACATTCTCCTCTGTAGTATGGATAAAAATAATAATAATTAACACAGCTGTAGCTTGAATTTCTCCAGTGCCTCTCTCCCCAGACCTCGAAACTCTGGGCAGACAGCAAATCTGCTGGCTTTATAGCCACACCCCAGGACCCAGGAAGCCTCAGCATTGCCACGCTCACTGACTCCTCCAGCTGGGAGGCCAGCTCCCGTGCACATGAGACTGACCCGTCCCAGGAGGAGCCCTTTGAGTGCCATGGCAGGGCTGGGAAATGCCCTGGGCCTCCCGCTGCATCCCCAGGTTCTGGGATTCCCCCCTGTGCCCAGAAGTAGGAGAGAGGGTAAGGGAGGGAGGGAGGTGTCCGCCGTCTTTGCCCAACCTCCGAAAGCACCCCCATCAATCCCCGACTCCCCCACACAAGCTGTTCTGCCTCGCGGAAGGCTGCCTTCCTGCTCCTACAGCCAGTGGGGACACGTCCAGCAGGTCTGGTCCCTGCAGAGGACAGCTGCTGGCTTCTCTGGTCGAAGCCAGGAGTCATTACACACCACATGTCTAGTTTAAACAGGTGATAAGGCAGCTTTATTAAGAGCACACATGCTTCCAGCCAGGGAGGGACGGGAGCTTCCAGGGGTGACTGGGGTGGGGGGGCTTGCCTCCATGGGCTCTTCTCCAAAGCATTTTCCAGTGAATTCAATGCAGGGTGGTGCTCCAGGGCCCCGAGTGGAGTGGCGTGGCGGGAGCCTGACCGAGTTCCAGGGGCCGCTGCCTGAGTTCCAGCCGCCCCCTTCCTGACTGACTCAAGCAATTTAAATATGCAGAGACCCCAAAGCTCTCACTCGGCCAGTGGGCCAGTGGCTTCAACCTCCGCTTACACACTCTTTCCAGCAACTACTGGACCTGAGTACTGTTTCCTTTGCTTTCTTCAAATACCGCAGGACAAAGGAGGGGCCAGAAGGGGAGACACGGTTAGAAACTACGTTTATCATGAATGTGTTCCCTCAGCATCTCCAGAGAGAAAGCAACTGGATCTCTGGAGTCCACAGATGGGCTGAAGAGTGTGGAAGTACTTACAACTGTGTGCAAACACACGCGTGTGCGTGTGCACATGCACGCAGGGGCGATTTTTCCTGGAGAGAAGGGCCAACACTTGCATCAGATTCTCAGGGGGAGGGGATCCCTGGGTGGCGCAGCGGTTTGGCGCCTGCCTTTGGCCCAGGGCGCGATCCTGGAGACCCGGGATCGAATCCCACGTCGGGCTCCCGGTGCATGGAGACTGCTTCTGTCTCTGCCTCTCTCTCTCTCTCATGAATGAATAAATAAAATCTTAAAAAAAAAAAAAGATTCTCAGGGGGGTCTAAGACCCCCATATCTTAAGAAGCGCTGCTCTCTTCCCCGGTCAGTTCTGACAGTGATGGGCTGGCCGACTTTTCCATAAAGGTGACTTCCTCTTTCAGAATCCAGCACTGGATTTTGAGGGCTGGATTCCACCTGCTTGAAAGGGGGGACTACGATGAGTTTAAGGATGCAACGGAAGCAGAACGATGACAGCGTCTTTTGCCAGGCAGAGCGGCGGCAGCCTCTAAGCCAGAGGCGGTGATGAAGTGCCTTCCCCCTCACCTCGTTTTTCTCATTGTGACAGCTCCGTATCTACTGTTCCCTGTCACCCCTGTGACAGCCTTCTAATGATGAAGGCAGCATCAATGTCATATAAATTCCTCCAGAACCCCAGGGCTAAAAGCAGATCAGGTTCAGGAAGCGGGGAACCAAACGCTCTGCACGGCAGAGTGGAAAGAACAAAGGCTTTAGAGCATGAAAGACCTGAGTTCGTATCCTACTTCTGTCTCTTATGAGTTGTGTGACTGCGAACAAATTATTTAACCTCCCCGTCCGTTTCCGTATCTGTAAAATGGGAATGATACCTCAGGAGGTTATCTTGAGGATTCGAGGAGGCAATGCTGCCGATCTGGCATAGTGCAGGCACGCAGAAGGAGCTCAACAAATGAGTTCCCTTCCCCAGCAGGCACAGGTGGGCACCCACACACCTCCATCCGTCTGCTGCATCACTGTAATATCAGAGGAAGGGGGCCCCGGGGGCCTGGCTGCTTGGTACCATGTGGATGGCAATCACAGGCCACTTTCCCCATATTGACCCAAATCTTCTGACCCTTCATGGCTCCCTGGGGCCCCTCCTTCTCCATGAAGTGTCCCTCACAGTGCTCTGTCTTGACATCCCGCAACGGCCATCTGCGTGTTCTGTCTGTATCACACTCTCCTTTCCATCTCTTTCCCTGTCATGAGAGAGGTCACTGCTCCCCTTGATCAAAGGGCAGACCCCTTGGCTACTCCAGCAGTAGCTGTACCCCCAGGCCCTCCCCTCCTCTTCTCTTTCCCCAGACTCTAGAGGGACTGGCTGCTCTCTTTCTGCTTTCAGGTCTTTGAACTTGTTGTTCTGGAATGTCCCTCCATTCTCTGCTTAATTATCCTCCAAGTTCCAGTTCAACTGTCATCTCCTCTGTGAAACATTCTCTCCCACCTCTTGTTCCCACAGCACCTACCCCAGTTTAGCAGGAGCCATGGAGTGGACATCGACCTCCATAGTCTGGGCTTCTTCAGAGCATGGGCTGGGCCTGTTCCATCCTGGCTCCCCTTCACCTTGCATAGAGTCTGGCAAGCGGTCTGTAGTCAATAAACGTGGGCAGGGGTAAAATAACAAATGGTGTGCTTGTCTATGGGTGGCAGTGGGGCCCCCTTAACCAGAGGCTTCCTGTGAAGGTGGCAGTCCCCACTCAAGGGTGGCTAGCTTGGGTCCTGCTGAACTAGGGCCTAACCCCATGTCCAGATTAGACACCTAGTCAGGTGACAGTTAGAGGCTGACATGTGCATCCCATTTGGATCCCACACTTGGCTACTCCAAGCCATGAGGCAAGGGCAGAGGAACCCTGGAACCTTCTCTACCTCACACCTGCACAGGAGAGGGAGAGGATGGCAAGGGGATGAGGAAGGGGGTTGACAATCGTGAACACTGGCAGTGTTTCAAGTCTAGTTCTGAGACTGGCCTCCTTGACTCATCTCACAGATGAAGACACTGAGTGAGGCTTAGAGGTGGCTTCCTTGCCTAGAGCCATGCATGACATGGCACAGAGCTAAAATCAGAGCCAGGTTGGTTAAGCTCCAGAGTGAGTGTTCTTTTCTTTACAAGACGCTGTCTTCTGCAGAAATCATCACATAGCACCCAGACGAAACAGGACTGGGGGAAAGGCTCACACTGAAAAACTGTGTGTGCATGTGTGTGTGCGCACATATACCCATGTCGTGTTTCTTCTTCACCGATGACAAAGACAAAGAGAATGGCTGGGGGATGGTTTGAATCAGTTGTCAAAGTGGTTTTGGACAGACCAACACGTCTGGATGTGGGTCAGAGGATTTCACACTGTCTACAAGGTAAAGCTCTAAACAAGTATCCCTGTCTCCATGAGGTTTAGCTATTTTAGCATAGTGGTTTTTTTTCTTTTTATTATTTTAAAGACTTATTTACTTATTTTAGAGAGAGAGAGCACCATGGGGGTTGGGGCAGAGAGAGAGACTCTCCAGCAGACTCCCTACTAAGCACAGACTCCCCTGCGGGGCTTGATCTCATGACCCTAAGATTATGACCTGAGCCGAAACCAACGCTTAACTGACTGAGCCACCCAGGCGCCCAGCATAGCGATTTCTTCCTCTAACTCCCTGACAGCCCGGAAACCTTTATCCTGCCCGTTTCTAACCCACCATGTTCGTTTACTTGCACTACTTGGCCAAAGCCTCAACGCCCAAAACGTGAAGAGGAAGTGCAGGGATGGGGGGGGGGGAGGAAGCCCTCCAGAGTGAGAAAAGTGGGGGAACTCCAGACACAAGGGTGAAACGGGGGAAAGAGCCAGAAGGAGGCTGCTTGGACTGAACCAGCCCATCTCATTAGGGACTTGAGTTGCCTTTATTTTTGATTAGAAATATGTGATTGGAAAAAATATGGGACTTACTTTATGCTTTTTGAGGTTTTCTCCCCCTATGTGTGTTATTATATTTTTCGTTTTTTTTTCTAAGATTTTATTTATTTATTCATGAGAGAGAGAGAGAGGGAGGGAGAGAGAGGCAGAGACACAGGCAGAGGGAGAAGCAGGCTCCACGCAGGGAGCCCAATGTTGGATTCGATCCCGGGTCTCCAGGATCACACCCTGGACTGAAGGCGGCGCTAGACCGCTGAGCCACCCAGGCTGCCCCATATTTTTAGTTTTTAGTGAGCGTTCCTTTCCAAAAACCTAAACTTGTTTTCATTGAAACTGAGAGAATGTAGGGACCATAGGTGCCTGGATTAGTGCACGGCTGGGGAGCAGTAGAGCCCCTTGGGGAGAGGGTGCAGGCAAGCTCCAGAGGGCTGGAGGAGTGGGGCAGGGTAGAAGGGAGAGGGGGAAGGGACAAAGGACCAGCTGCCTAAAGAGGCTGGATGTCCTCCCGGCTTCAGGATCCAGGTGAGATTCCTGGGCAACCCCCAGCACCTGGATTCAGAGCCAGGGCCCTGCAGCGGGTGCAGATTTGACAACTTCCTGTAGGATGCCAACGAGGGTGGCTGGCTTGACTCCTGCCGATGTGGGAAAGGAGGTGCCTGAGAGGGTGGTCTCCAGTAGCTGGAAGATTCTGCCTCCAGGTGGGAAAGGAGGCTGGAAAGGAGAGGAGAAAGAAGCCCCCAGGGAGCCAGGGGTGGCCAGGTTAACAGATTCCTTCCTTCTGGAGGGATTTCGTGCCACGTTGAATAAATAGAATACGACGCAATTGCAAAAGACACATTCTACAGTGTATTAGATGCCACCACACCGTTACCGTCTGTCAGCCGCCATCAGGGTGACTGATGACTTATCAAAGGCCACTCTGACATTTCCAAATGAGATGTTGTGATAGAGGTGCCATTCAACAGAGCCCAAAACGCCAGAGAGAACCTGAATGTAAATGAGGAACATTTGTCACCTTTGTCTCACCTATTTAAAGGTTTCTTGTCTGACAACAAGGCCTTCTCCAGGGGAGAGCTCAGGAGGGAGAGGAGAAGGGAGCAGGCAGAGGGAAGGAGGGGAGGGAAGAGCAGATCCCCGTAGAGCCCGCAGGAAGGGAGGGGCTGCTCCCGGGTAGCGGAAGCCAGGGGAGATGGCTCCCAACCTTATGCTGAGTCACCCTGTCCCATATGGTGGCCCCCATGCGGTCACCTGGCACTGGGAAATTGGCCAGACTGACACGCGCCGTACCCGCAAACGCGCACCAGTTTGAGAAGATTTAATCTCTCAGCAAAAAATGCAAAATGCCTCATTAGTAAGTTATGCTGATTGAATTTTGAAATGATCATTTTGGGCGATATATTGGGTTAAATAATGGGATTAATTTTACTTGTTACTTTTCCATGTGGCTGTGAGAATATTAAAATCGCACACGTGGTCTGCATTAGAGCTCTACTGAACAGCGCTAGGCTTTGACCTCTCCAAGTCCCAACCTCCTCATGTCGTCACACGTGAAACTGTGGTAGCGTGTTCGTTCCTGCGAGGTTGCTGTGAGGACTGAATCATGTGGTATGTGGAAACCACCTGGCCTGACACCCGCTACTCGGGCACAGGCGGGGGCCCCCCACCCCGTTCCTGGGGGCCAGGACTGGATGCCCTTCTAGCCTCACCACCCATTAGCTGCACGCTTAGCTCTTCCGCTCTCTGTGAGAATCTGGAAAACTACGACCCTTTGTAGACCTCAGTTTTTCTCTCAGCTGTAAAAGGAAAGGATGGGGCATGTCACTTGAGTCCTCCCCAAAGTTAGACCCTTCATATGAACTACCTGACCTCTGTAGGCCTCTTTCCTCACATGGATCCTTCTGAGGGGCAAGCAGCTGTAGTGGCTGGGTGGGAGGGGGTGCAGCATTGGTGCTCCTATGTAAATGGAGCACCCTATGTGTCCTAGGGTGACATGATGTGCTTGTGCCTTACGGCAAAGACACCACTACCCTCTGGGCTGGGGTCTGAAACCAGCCAGGGGCTGTGCTAAAGCTTCCATAGCATCTGTATGTGATGCCTGGGGCTGTGACCAGCTGAGTGAGCCCAGGTGAAGAATTCAAAGTGCTCTGATCACAGGGTATGTCTACAGAAGATGAGAGAGGCCTTAAAACCTTTAGTCAGGGACACGACAGCATTGCCTTATCCCTGGGGAAAGAAATATCCTTCCCATGGAGATCTCTCTGCTCCCAGCTGCCACCCCCAGGCAGCTCCTCCCCCGTCCTGTCCTGTGGTTCCGACTCCTCAGCCAGTGCACTGGGGATGCAGGTCGGATCACCAGGGGCGACCGAGGCAGGATGCGAGTGCTGACAACAATCTGAAAATCCAGGGTCAGCCAGTCCTTGAGGCCTCTGACAAGGCGAGAGCTGGGAGCTGATGGATTCTCTCTCTGATCCTAAATGCTAAAGCCTTAAATAGCAAGAGACAAGACCTCTGCTTGGTGGACCCAGACCAAGTTGCAGAGGGTGGTCCATGGTGCCCCTGAGCCACAGCCATCCAGCCAGAGTGCCCGTTAACCATGAAGATTCCTGGAATCTACCCAGACTCCCAGCATTGGACTCTCTGAGGTCAGACCCAGAAACCTCTGTGCCTAACACACTCTGGAGGTGGTCTCTGATAGCCACAGAGGGAGAGGCCAGGTCTACTGACTCTGAGGAGGACAGGACCCTTGCCTCCCATCCCAGTGGGACACCCACTTCTCCATGAGGCCAGCTTCCTCACCATTGACCCCCTCAGCAGCTGGGCATGAGATGTTTGAGCAGAAGTGAAAGACCAGGTGTGTGTTATGAGGGGAGGGAAAGCTGAGGGTGGTGACTGCAATGCTTGGATGATGGGGGGGTAACAGCTCACGCTGCAGCAACAGGCGTTACCATAAGCGTAATGTCCCACCAGGAGGCGGTAACTGCACTGGAGTGGCTGGTTTCTCTTCCTTAGAGACAAGGGACAGGCAAATGATGACGGATTCTAAGCTCCCTCTGAGGGGACCAGGTGGACCCAACCTCCCAGCACTCTTCCCTCGGGCCAGGCCAATGAGGGGTGGGAGGGAGGGAGGTGCTACCACTGTGGCAGGTGTAGGGGCACCGCAAGGAGGGGCAGGTAGCCCAGCTAAAAGCACTAAAGGCTTGACAAGCAGTGGGGGAGAAAAAGGAACCGGATGGGTGGGGAACTAGGGTTGTAAGAGAGGAGGGGAAAGGGGATGCAGAGAATGCAAAGAGGAGGAGAATGTTGGAGAAGAACAGCTTTCCCCCTGGAGACAACAAGAGGGGCCTGGGCTGGACACAAAGTCACAAGCTCTCCCAAGCCACCCTCACTGTTGGAGGAGTCTGCACTGTGGGGTTGGGCATGTCAGGGCTGGTGGCGTGAGACACAGCCCCATCCAGTGGCCCTAGGAAGCTGAGGATGAGAGAGGGGAAAGCCCTTCCTCTCCCAATTCCCAGTCGTGTGTGCTTTCCACCTCCCCACCTGCCTCCACGGGGTTGAAGGGTGGTACCCAAGAGGCAGGAGGGACCGCCAGACACACCACCACCGCCTTCCCATGTGCGATGGCAGGGTTCAGTCACGGGGTCACGTGGGCTCAGGAATTGTTTGCTGTTTTGCAAACACTTTGACCTGCATGGA